TGTGTGTGTGTGTGTATACACAGCTGGTGCAGGTTAACGGGTGCTACAGTACACAGAGGAGTGAATGCTGACTGAGCCCGGAGCAGAGTGGGTATTACAGGCCTTCTCTGTGAGATGTGTGTCAGTGTGTCAAAACCAGGACTGTGTGTTTTGTTGTCCAGGCACATGCTGGACCTTCTTAGTGGAAAGTGTGTGTGTGTGTGTGTGTGTGTAAAAATGTCTCTTAGATTAGGGTCAATCATCGTCCTCCAGGCTTTTTAAGTTCGTCTTTATCAAGCCGGTTGTGTAAACAGGCCGACCAACGCGGCTGTATCAGACCTCATTCAAAACAAGATGACAGTGACCTTCTCTGACTCTTCCTTTAAACTGCTGCTGTTGACCTTTGACCCCAGGACAAGTGAGACAGAGGGTGATCGTCTCACAGCTGACAGCGCAGGGTCACAGAGGGGATAGACACACACATAAACAGCATTCCCAGTTACACCAATAATTATAGCGAGCTAAAGCGCATTCTGTAATTAAGGGATTTTACAGTCGAAGTCATGCATCCAGGCATTAGTGACCACTTCAGTTTTAATCTGCGCTGGGATTCTCCGGTCTGATCCAGCACTTTGGAGCCTTTTGTGTTTGTGCAGCTCATCGGTGTGCTGTGCATCAGTTCATGCTGAACATGATGGTTGAAGCCTTCAAATATATCTTTTCACATTTCTACAAACGTCCTGCCATATTCTGAATAAACTGTGTAATTCATATCTCATACTGTGATCTAAATTTATAGGTGATATTAAAAAATAAAACTTGACTTCCGCTCACTCTCTTTAGTGTCCAGAATGGCGGATCTATAATGAGTTGATAGACACCTCCGCCATTAAGTCTAAACATTGAAATCTTTATGGGGGCAGATTTTAAAGTAGATTTCTTCTTCCTCTTGCGTCCCTCAAACACAGAGACCCTCCTTCTTGAGGAATGGTCCGACAACCCACTACATTCAGTTTATAGCTTACGTGAAAGAAATCCAGGAAAAACATGGGCTGTCCAGATCCCCCAGTGCTTAGGCTATTAAACATTAATGTCTCGCCAGTCCTTTATGGGTTTTTCTCAGCAGCTGAATGTTGAATCATCTGACTGCGATTGACACTTGTTTTTTTGGTCACTATTAACAATGGACTTAATGTTTGGCTTTGTCAAACAAACCGAAAGGAACACTAATTCCACATAAAAGGTGAATAAATGATGAGTAATGAACAGCGTCATGAGAACAGCACACAAAGGGATCTGAAAGAAAACCTGAGGTTATGGTTATACGAGCGCACTGTGTGTGGGGGGGATACATAACTAAAACAAATCTTCACCAGAAAGAACCTAAAACTTTATGCAAGACTGTGTGTCATTCAGAAAAAGGTGAAATTAATATTGGAATTATAAGAGGATTTAAAAGGATTTTTTCCAGTTTGTGTTATATATGTAATAATCTGAACAAGCAGTTTAATTCCAGCTGCCGCTCTCAGCAAACAGCACTTTGGTACGAGTCTCAGACATTTACATAAAACTCCAACAACAAAGCCAGTGTGCTCCCCAGCTATTCTTTGAACCAGAGTTACACCTGCTGCTGCCAACTTTTACACTGTGACGTTGGCCTTTCTTCTTAACTGATGTTAGCTGGCTCGCGAAAAACTGTTTTTAATTTTGGAAAATGCTCCTCTCTGCCTGAAAGGCTTAGTGAAGCACTTTTCTTAATGCCAAAGTTCTCCATCTGTTCTGTCGTGAGAGCACATTTTCTGAAATGAAAAAGCCACTGGCAATTTTGAAAAATGAGTGTGAAAGTGACTTCAGTTGTTTTTAAAGTATGGAGGAAGCACCCTGGGTTATAAATGAATATGGCGGTACATGATGAACATGGGACCAGATGAAGAACCCACAGTGTAGCAAAGTAATAAAAGACAAGCAGCTGGCACAGTTTCCAAGAGTATTAATAACGGTCAGAGGTCACTGCTGGGCTAATGTCTCCTCTCTAAGACAGAATGATGAGCTAACGGTCGATGCTAGCAGACAGGAGAGAATCTGAACTGTAGTTAACACCCGCCCATCCACCAACCTGCCCCACACACACACACGCACACACACACACACACAAACACACACAAACACACACAGGAACAATCAGATTAAAGTCAGTAAAGTACAGCGCAGAGGCACAAGATTTGTGTTGTGTGTATGTGAGGTGGGGGATGCCGAATGGCTTTAGGAATCAGCTGATTAGCCTCCCAGCACCCCGATGTTACGGACACTAACATCACGTATGAACAAGCTTTACCCATGTTCGTGTTAAATGAACAAAAGGCAGCGAGTCAGATTTCCACTTCGCTGCTTCTCTGGTGTGGCAACAACACTGATCTCATTAAATATGGTTCGAGCTGATTTCTGTTGAGGTTGCAGAACATATCAATAC